GTGAAGAAACGTGGCAGTAGCGATTCAGAAGGGTTCAAATGTTGAACTGGAAGGCTGTACATCGATTCATAGTGGCATATGCAACACGCGCTGGCATCGTGTATTGCGTTGTTGGGGCCTGCTTTGGATGTGCATTACACCCCGCCGGATGCGCACGGGCCTGTGGATGATTCGATACCACACATCGTTAGGTCCACAGATGGACCTCACAATAGTCGGGGGTCTCTTGCCCAAATGAAGTAATTCCTTTGCAATAGGTGGGCATGTGACCTTGTGTTCGTGCACCCGCGGACGTACACACGTATGCTCGTGGGTGCTGGCCACCAACTGTGAAATCCAACGACACATCGTAATTCTAATGTGTCTCTGTACCAAATGCAGTAATTCCTCTCGTAAGAGGTGGGTATGTGACCTTAGTACATAAAACAATCAAGGTTTGGTTGCATCATGCCAACCTCATTTAAGTGCACCCACCACCACCGTAACACACGCGTGACTACGGATGCTGCCACCGCACCAGGGATCCAACAACAAATTTGAGTTTTGATTTCGTCATGTTGTGTCTTGACCAAATAGAGCCTTTTTTTTGCACTAGGTGGGAGGTCCACATTAGGAGGTGTGAAAACACATTACCTACTCCACCATCCCATTCCATGAAGGAGTGTGATAAATCAAGCGGGGGGTGATAACACTTAGCAGATAGACTGTTATGCGGTCGTCAACCGACGATGTTGTGCGGTCCTCGGCGGACGTAGTTGAGCGGGCTTTGGCAGCACATGCGGCGGCGGGTTGCTTCGAGAAAAATTATTTGATCGCGAGTGGAGACGCCGGCACAGACATTGATGGCACCGTCTGAACGACGTCACTTCCAGCAGGGTTGTGTCAGGAGGGTTGTCTACCTCCTCCACCTCCATATGATCCCTGTTTGTGCATACCAGTTCGTGCGCATCCGTGCCATCACCCACCAGCCACCAAAGAATATGACTCTCATGTAGTAAACCAGGATATTTATTTAAGAGTCATATTCTCTGCCAGCCACAACGTGTGATGATGGGGGCTCCGTGATTGGAAGTGCGGCGCAACTGTAGGGAGTGTGCTATCTGCTGTGAGTGTGCTATTATGTGTCACTTACGGTAGCACGCGCAGACAAGCTATAATTGTACAGTTTTAGCCGTGACCTGCAGTGACACGTAGGATAGGACATGCTTCCGCACAGGGATCTTTCCGCGGGGTAACATGTAATGGAGACTGCTGTCCATGTGCAGGCGGGAGACTTGGCCCAGTGTTGCCCAATTTGACCAATTTTTAAATGTCGCGCAACATGCGTATCCATCCTCCTGCTGCCCACGGGTCCCGAATAGCTCCCTTACCCAACACTCTGAGCGATATCAAGAAACGTGTGTCCGCGCGCTGCGGCGGTTATTATGTCTGGTTGCCTCGCTCCGCTACCGAAGAGCGGTGTCTGCCTGCGTTGGCCCCTGGGTTGTTTGGTTTTTCCCTCTGCTCCACGACCAGAGCTTCTGCCGGCTGTGAATGGATCGACCTTGTACCGCGCGACCACGTCCCCTCGCGTTCCACAAACTTATACAAGCACCTTGTGAGGTGAAGTGATAGCCAAAGCCGCCAGCTGTGCAGGAAATTCCCCTGTCAGCAGGGGAGAACGTGTAAGGTTGGATGTGAGGTCGAACTCATTTCCGCTTTTGATAACACTCCACCGAGTAGATCATGTTGTGCGGGGTGGAGAACCCTCACTCCGCGCAAGGGAGATGATCGCACCACGTTGTGTGAAATTGGTCAAGCACCCTCGAGGCAGTTACACAGTGCTTACAACTGTCTCCGGAAGTGAAGCACCAAAAAATAAATTACGTCATTCGCAGCTCTCATCCGTACGCAAGGAAGTAAGCACAAGATGCCGAACACCCTTAGCAGGATGCAGCGCACCCTTCATGCGACTCGCCGAATATCTCACGGCGCTTCGCGCTTGGTGATGTGAGAGCCTGGTCCGGTGAGAACCCGGCGTGCTCCGTCCCGGCTTTGTAGGGATGCGAGTTCAACGGTCTAACAACTACGGCATGCACGACTATGAGTACACCCCCTCCCCCCCCGCCCCGGTGCATACCATCGGGTTTGGGTTTTCATCGCTTCGCAACGACGTTGTAAAACAAGCCCCCCCCCTCGGTGTTTGCCATCGGGATCGGGTTTTCGTCGCTGGCGACGACGTTGTAAAACAAGCCAATTCACTTTGTGAACTCGGCAACCTGGGTACCGTTTTTTTTTTTATCTATGTTTTTTTTTGGCGGTAACCATAGTGGTGATCGAGTGGATCATGTTGTGCGGGGTGGAGTACCCTCACTCCGCGCAAGGGGGATGATCGCACCACGTTGTGTTAAAATGGTCAAGCACCCTCGAGGCAGTTACACAGTGCTTACAACTAACTGTCTGCAAGTGAAACCATCAGAAAATAAATTAAGTCATACGCAGCTGTCATCCGTACGCAAGTAAGCACAAGATGCCGAACACCCTTAGCAGGATGCAGCGCACCCTTCATGCGACTCGCCGAATATCTCACGGCGCTTCGCGCTTGGTGATGTGAGAGCCTGATCCGGTGAGAACTCGGCTTGCTCCGTCCCGGCTTTGTAGGGATCCGAGCTCAATGGTCTAACGACTACGGCATGCACAACTTTGAGTACACCTCCTCCCCCCCCGCCCCCGCCCCCCTCCATGCCCAAACAAAGTCGTTTTTCGTGTGAAGATATCGAGATAACGTCTCTTATCTCCCCCCCCTGCCTGAAGTGCGACTTGGTTTCTATTTAGCGCTCGGAAATCGCTTGATTTGAACATTCCCTTGAACTGAAGTTGCATTCATGCCGTCACACCTCGACCAGGCAATTGGGTTTTTGAAAACGCGAGGTCATCGCCAAGAGCGGGTGTCTGACGTTCGCTCGCGGCATGTTGTGCGCGTAGGTAGATTCAGTCTCACTTTTTGTCCCAAGGTGTCTGTCACATCACATCATATCCCAAAAATGTTTGTCGGTTGTGGATGCTCGCGGCAGACCCCAATTTGCAATTGGGGAATGTATTTTTGAACAGTACCAATGGTTGTAGATCGAGCCGTCATCGCAGACTCCCAATCCTCCTGCTGATGTCATCATCACTGCAATAGTACCCAGATACCGTCATCTGAGTCGAGATCAACCGATCGTGGGAGAGATGGAACGCGCGCTTCCGAGAAACACCCACGATAGATCCACGCCCCAAGGAGCAGTACTTGCATTGCTTGCGATTAAAAGTCGTATTTTATCTTGCCCATCATCTCGCAAACGGCCTACATATATCGAGGAACAGAAGGAAACATATTGATTGCAGTCGCTGTTTTGTGGTACAGGAAACCGTTGAACGGGTACAAGAAACAGCTGCTGCTCTGAGCTTTGCCTCTCCGTGAGTACCCACACCCAAAACGCACGACAGGGTGTACCAATGAAGCTGAAACTTGCTGACGGTGCGAGCAGTCATCGACGGAAGACACCCGACGCGAATTTTATTACGCTGCTTGGGTCCCTTTCCGTGGATCGTGGCTTTCGCTAAACCAGAAGCATGCCAGTCTATGTATGACCCATGGGGGTAAAAAAGAAGGTGATGCTGCTGCTTGCTTATGGTTGGTCTTGTGTGAAAAAGAACGACTACATATTGTAAACCATCCACGAAGTGCCCAGCCCATCAATGAAAAGATGTACTGCCGGGCGCGTGTGCCCTTATGACACTAGTTCTCGGGGGTTCTACGATAGAGAGGAGTAATAAGAGGTGTGGTCGGTTCAATACCTGCAATAATCTGTATCTGCGATCCGGCGTGTGATGGAGACTTTCTCCGCACTTGATACTACGTATCCGGTGCACATTGAGCGGATCTTTAAGACTGTGCATCCGCTCCCCGCTGGTATCGAATGATACACCAATGAACGGCGGAGGAACAAACACACTCCGTGACACACGTGATGCTACAACAGCACCGCCAAACGATCGGCACCTAACAGCACCGCTGTAGGCAAAATATGAACAATAGACAGGGTGAGATATAAAAGATACAACCCATCGGGCAGCGCGGTGTGGAAAGCAGGTAGAAAGTAGCAGGAGCACAGCAGTTCCAACAGAGCCAGCTCGTTTTCTCGTATGGACCATTTGTCAACATCTCAGCCTCTCTCTGTTTCTCTTGCTGGAGGCGGCGCCGTTTGTTTGATTCCCTTATCACGCGCCCCATTGTTGTCCAGCCAAGGCTTCTCCCTATATCGTTCTGGGTCCCGCATGGCGATTGTGTAATCAGCACCAATCGCTTCAACTTCGCCTTCCGCTGCTGTCGTTGCTGGTGTGGGCAAGACCTCAACCTATCCTGTTTTCACCCATCGATTTTTCCAACGGCGAATAGAGCCGCCAACACACTCTCACTGTTATATAGCCTTGAGAGCGGGCACGAGGTCTGCTTTTACTGCTGTGTGTTTTTCACCTATGCAAGGGATTAGACCACGGCGGATGGGTCATTCTGCGGATGTGAGGCTTGTCAGCGGTATGCTACCTCTCTGTCTTTGAATCATGCACACAAGAGTCTCCGCTTCGTAATGCCGCCTATCTTCCTGAACATCCGGAGATGGGGTGAGGTACCTCCTGCAAATTGGGACAAATGTCTGTAACACAGCCTCGGAGCCCGTCTAAACCGGTGTGACGAAGTGGACCCTATTTTCGTCCACCTCAGAAGCCAGCAGATACTCAATCGGTGCTCTTTAGAGCTCGTTCTGGCCGAAAAGGAGGGTTATCTAGGCTTACCGGTGATTAAACTTGCGATCCCTCAATCGCGTTGGAACGTGACGATATTTTGACCCTGCTTTTTCCCTCCTGGGACGGGAGAAGAACGGTCGCGCTTCGCGCTCGGTGACTCATCACAAGTTTTGCGCCCTTCACGAATTGGACTGAAAAACCATTCTGGAGCGTTTTGCAGCAACCAAGCATGTGCGTTGATGGCCCGTGGGGTGAAGTCATGTAATTTCCCGACAAAGAACCGGCAGAAGCAATGTTACCACACGTGCAAGAAAGGTGGACGTGGCAGCATGTACACACACTTCTTCATTCAGTTCCACCCGAAAATCTGTCGAAGCAATCTCAACAACGTCGACCAAACACAAATGAATTGGTTATGAACCAGGAGATGGCCTACTCTAAATCCAAGCCGAGATGCGGAATTCGGCCTAACTGGGGTCAAGAAATGTGGGATCAATAGAACTGGGGTTCAAAAGTGGGGTCACCAATCGAATACCAAAGATTTTTCACAATCAGAATTTCCCCAACAAACAACTAATGGCCTACAGGCGCCAGGACGCTCGCACTTTGTCCGTGTTTTGGCTTGTAGTCAGCAGTCGTTCTAAATACTTTACGAGCTTTGGGGCGTTGTAGACCGAGCTCTACAGGGGCGTGGATAGTAGGGTCTGGAGATGACCGTAGCCCCTTGTTGTCCCATCTGGGGGGGCCCTCTACTCCCCAACAAATGCATACATACCTTCCAAGGGTATTTCGGTTGGGTACGCACCGAGGTGTACCACCTCTACTTCAGCCGCTACAAACCCTACCGATGGTCTCGGCACTTCGGTCAAGGCTACGATACCTACCCAAAATCTCGGTACGCCTCGGAAGACCTCCATACCCTACCGAAAATCTCGGTACGCTCGGTACAGCCAGCCCTCTATACCCTACCGAGCGTATCCGTACCCTCCCGAACACACCCTTGATGTCTTCCCGCTACCCCTCTCCATTGGGATTGGTTGGCTCGGCCTCCCGCCTCACACCCTGGAGAGACCGCGCCTGGGGGATCAGCTGAGGGTCTGTGGCTCGCCGGCCCATACACCCTGCCCGATAATTGGGCAATATATAACAGTCTTTCCGAAATACCAGAGGGTGCGCGGGTACACCTAGCTACCAAACCGACCTTAGATAGTACGAGCGTAGAGACTGGAAGGGTTTTCAGGTGAATACCACAACACGCAAGAGAGAAACCGAACTCCACATGCTACCGTAGGTTTAGGAGGGCAGCTACTTGATCACCACGGGGGCGACCGGTTCGTGCCCCCTCAACAAGGTCTAAGGATTGTGATCGGCTGCCGACCCGCTGCAAGGAGTGCCTCGCGAGATTATCCGTTTGTGCTTTGAGTGACAGCAGCAGTGCGCAGAGTCCAGCCGTGGAAGCCAACAGCAAGCAGTATTAGCGCATCATGGCCTCCCTCCCTCGGCTACGCTTACAGTTGGACGATGCTGTGCCATGCGTAACTCTCCCCGTGCCCACGTGCCCACTCTTCGGAGCGGGGAGAAACAATGCCTGGCTGCTTCCGCTGCAGCAAAAGGCATATCGAACAAACCCCATTGTGCAATATCAAACCAATACGTTTAACTCTTACGCTGCACTGCTTGTCAGCCCAGCGATGCTCCCAGACGGCCTACATCGTCCAACGTGCCATTGTGGTTCACAAAACTTCTACGCTGGCCCTCGTATTGCAGCAATGGTATTATGGATTGTTTCGAAGCCGTATTAATCCACCTGTTCACGTCGAGCAGCCGTACTCCGCTCGTTTTCACTCAATTTCGCACCATGATCTCAATCACATAAATAAATACCGCAGTTGATATGCCAATGATTATGTTTCACATGCGTGCCGAGGACTGACTATCCAAACCTCGTTTCCCCAACAGCGGGGTTCGAACACAAACACCAAGGTAGCGGCTGCTTGCAACAAGCGAATTGTGTCAGCCAAAAAATGTGCATGCCTGAATCACCCGTGAGCCCCTCAGAACGAGAAGGCATACATACCTACGCGCGTGCTAGGCAGCTGCTGTAAAGCATACATGCCGCATTTGATCGACGTCGGGCCCGAAACGTAAGAACTCGTCTTGCACCGATCGTAATGCCGCGTCCTGTTGGCATGGTGGGGACACAACAGCAGGACACAAGATATCAGACTGAGGGGATCAACATTAGGAGTCAGGAGAATAAATATGGCAGTCGCTTTACTTTGTCACTTCAAACACGACGGCCAATGGTTCAATCAAAGTGTAATGTTCACGTGATCTTTCTCGACTCAACTCAAATGTGCAGGAGATGCGTTTGACACATTAGTCTATTCTCAAGTGAAGCAGAACAGAAAAAAAACACACAGTTCGACAAAGCAACGGACACCACGGGCATGCTTCTCTCCGTCGATTGAGAGTGCGAGCTGCTGAGCAAATCTACTCCGACGGAGAGCGAACAGAGAACACATCCTGGCCCGTCTGACTTCGATCGGTGGCCTAGGGCGCGAGAAGTCAGTTGCGGTGTCCTCCCGTCTCTGACAAGACACGGTTCTTTTTGCTGTCTCGTGGCGTTTTGGCCCGTTTCGGCTTCTCCATGTTTGGCGTGATGCGAAATGACTTCTTTATGCACGCGTGCCGAGCGACCATCAACAACCAGCGTGCAGAATAGCAAACCCTTCAGCGTAGGGTTGCTCAGAGCCCTTGATGGGAGCGATACGTCAAGAACTCAGGTTACACTCCCCGATTATGTCGACTGGGTTCACTAGCGATGAATTTTGTAGGACAGAAAATCGGGCTGGGCACCATCGTGGATTCTGACAAACTTTCTCGGCGGCGGCAACCCAAAAGCTGGACCCGGATTTTGCCGGCCCGAAAAAGTGACAAATCCGGCTGAATGTGTTGTGTGTGTGTGTTTTCGTCCTATTTATTATGGCGACAGTCCCCCCATTTTTCGTGGTGAGACGTGTGCTACACTTTTCAGCGAATGTAGAGTACTAGACTTTTCAGTGTATTTTTTCGTACAACTACAACCATCCAGGGTCACACAGGAGGGGGGTAAACACCAGGGCTTTTTCTTCGTTATATTTATTTTCATGCCCCACCTTCCTCCTGCGATGCGTGCTGAATTTTATTTTTATCGCGAGAAGGCTCCAGCCGGCCCTTTCCCTCGCCAACGGTGCTAACGTCGAGGTTTGCTGCTCACGAGAGCTTGTCAGCTATATGTCGCTTTCACCCGCACATTTCGTAAATTTTTCACCCCATGGGGATTCGAACTCACGACCTCTGCGACTAGCGGATTACGAGGATACCACTAGACCACCGGGGTGACCGATGTACCGCTGAATAAGAAGCCGGGATGTTGCCGATCCTGGATTTTGATGTTTGTTGGGTTCAGAATCCGGTTGTTTAAGAAACAGCATTTCATACGATATGTTCCAAGTAATGTGTAGCCGGGATCACACCACAAAAGGAAGGTACCACAGGAGCTTACTTCTGTTTTTACTTTTTTGTCTCACTTTCCTTCTACATATGATGCGTGCCCTCCATGTTAACGGGCGACGGGTTGTTCAGCAAAGTGTCTTGTATCGGGTGAATCAATTGTGTTCCCAACAGAGACCCAAACCCCTAGCAGGTGTACGAGGTTACCCACGATATAGACCACCGGGGCGACCGGTACATCCGCTGTTTTTCTGCATCAATATGCTACACGTTATTTCATTCAGTCCAAAAGCTGCAGCAGACGCGTAGACACACACACCCATCATTGTGCGTATGTACAGTACATGAGTCGAAAAAAACATGTATTCTTTGCACCTGCTGACTTGACTGCCTTTTGCACACATGTGGGTAAGATGATGCAAAGAGTTCGGTCAATCCAACAATAACCCGTAAATTGCTCACGTTCATGTCTCCATCGGCGCACTGTTTCAGTATTGGTCGCAGAGATGCAACCCTCTCCGCGAAAGTCTCACAGAAAGAATTCTTGACCTGTCAGCAAACGCGATGCGACACGGAGGGGGGCCATCACCAATGCCGACACCTTTTATGCAACCATTGGAGCGTTGCAACGTTCCGAAACAGCGAGCATTTGCTATGGATGGCATCGAAGGATATCCACGTTCAGCATGGAGCACGTGACAATCGCTGTAGTGGTATCATTTTTTCGAATAATACTGCAATCATGGTCCGGAGTCAGGCGCACATTCAAACAATGAGACTACACGGTAGCGGAACAATCATTCGATAACCCATGAGGCATTCTCCTCAAGCGTGGTTGGTTGTATCGTAGTCCGAACTACATCGATACGCACTGATGTCCGGCTTCACTCTTTCGATAAGTGCGTCAAGAGCTTAGCTAAGCATGGGTACGCACAAAGCAGGTAAAGGCCAACACGAAGCCAACGAAAGTAACAACGCGAGACAGTGCAGAACAATACAGCAGCACGCGACGATCATTGAAGACTGCGAAACATGGCAAAATATCTGACAGGTGATAGGGCTCGCTTTGAGATAAGTGCCAATGAAGAGACTTCGGGCAGTTTGTTCAGCTATTGTATAGGGTTGCAGCAAATGGTACAAGTGTCCCAAACTTCAAAACCGCCCATCTTTGCCGCGTAGTGCATGTTTGCACACCGGATAGTGGGGGATATCCCCTGTTCCAAAACATTAAGGAAACAAAAAAAAATCTGTTCGGGTACGCCCTGACACTGGTGGGTTGTAGGCATCTACACCAGGCCGGAGACGAGAATCCACTCAACCTTTCTTGACGCTATGTACATGGTCGAGCAACCGCTACAATACTCCTAACTAGGCACGCTTAGAGAGAAATACAGGAGAAACGTGAGTTGTGTGTCGTAGAAGCTGGTTCAAGGAAATGGATACAAGAATATTCAACATGAAAACTTCACGCCGTTTTCAAGAGTTACTGACTCTGAAACTTTACACACCTGTAAATTGGGTTTATATGAAACGCCGTGTGGAGGCCCTTTTTTATGTTTTTCCCCCTGTCGCCGGATATCCGGGGACCTAGAGGTTTCGGGGTCATGTGCTGCTTCTGGTACATCGAATAACCGGCGACCATGGAAGAAAATTAAAAAGGCCCCACCGCACAGCGTTTCGCACCAACCTAATGTATGTACATGTGTGCAAAGTTTCAACTCAAGGTCAAACTCCTACAAATGGCGTGAAGTTTCAGCGTTGGTGCCATGAAGTATCTCCCATCCTGATTTTCCCCCAAACTAACTTGATGCTAAAAAGTAAATCAGGTAAAAATCCGTTAGGGGGACTTCTTCACTGCAAAGTCGCGTACTGCGCCAGTTTTAGAAGTGGTACTACAAAAATTCTTGGAAATAGTCTTTAAATTTTCCCGCAGCGGAAAAAAAAAAAGTGTCCATATACTTGGAACCGGCTTTCGGGGGTTCCACACCGGGGACCCCAATACGCCGGTCAGCAGTGCAAACACTTGTCTCATTTTTCTTTTGCGGTTTGTGGGACTTTGCTGCACCATGCTATCAAAATCTGAATACTTCAATCATTACTTCGATACAAGGCAAACTAACCACGAGATTGTGTTTATATATACAATCCCTCCGCGTAAGTTTGACGACGCCAAATCTCGGCAGCCGAACCACCATTTCGGGCATAACTCGCTTCCACAATGGTCGTTTTCTATATTTTTTTTCCGTCAAGTCCCCTTGTGCATGGGAATTGCGTTGCATTAGAAAGAGGTCGGAAGCTCGGGTTGACATGTATTATTAGTTCTATATCATGTTGAAGGCTACTCTGATTGGTCGAGACACATTCATGCCCATTGCATTGTGGCCACGGCTCTGTGAAATTCCGGCCACGGCAATTTGTCCCCTTGCTCATGGGGGCCATATGATACAAGATATGTCAATGCTGTGTACATATTTCGTCTGGCAGCGGTGGTTGAATAAATTTGGGGTCATTTACGTGAACCAGTTTGTACAAATATTGTTCACGTCATCAACAAATAAATCGAAGTTGCCGCAGTTCGGAAGTTCACACGAGATCCCCAACTTCACTGTAGGCCACTCAGTGTATAACCAACGCCTATGGAAAACTGATCCTTGATGAGCTGAGCATTGGTCGGCCCAAGATATGATGAGCGAGGTGAGATGGATTGTGCATGCCAGCGAAACACTTGCCTGGTTTAAAAACTGCCTCACGCTGCCCTGGTTCTCGGTCGACGTCGTGACGCAGGTCTTGACATCGAAGAAAACGGCGACAATAATATCTTCGTTTCGTGTGCACAACATCTGCATCGAATCGGGGAGGGATCTGGCGGAAGGACCACGCTGCCCGTACAGGGACAGCGGTGAGTGGCGACGGGACAGTGGTGGTGTCAGAAAGCCGGCCTTGTGCTCCAGAGGAAAGCCTTTATTTAAGTGGCGGTAAATGCACAGGTGTGCTATCCGTTTCTTAGTCATACCTCTTCCATTTTCCGCACCCCTGTAGTTGCATAAAAAACATCGGTGACTCAAATAATGTCACGCACACACCCCCGACGCGTGAATACTACTGGTACTACCTGTATATTGCTTTGAGAGGACCTGCGAGCGGTTGACCAGCAGGCACAACATAACACACTAGACACACTGAACACACAGCACCTACACAACACCAGACGAGGTGGCGAAACACGAAAACGGCGGAATTGAAGTCCCACTGGGGGAGCACTATTGATAGATACGTTCGTTGAATGCTGGAGCATTGGTAGATTGCGAATTTGCTTGTGACAGCGTGCAAAGGCGGAAGAACGACCCGATTGTCCGCTGAAAATGAAGCATGTGCCTTCCAGTTTTCTTCTTGGCTGTCGATGTTTTAGTTTGCAGGACGTGAAGCTTTTTTTTTGCTTGGTTGAGTGGGCTCGTTTGTTTACGGATTCAATCAAAAACTCTCACGTTACAGGTGCACCGCCACTGCAATACACACACAGCAGTGGATCCCCGATGACATGCCGCGAGGCAAACACGCAAACAGTAACAAATGCAGCTCCGCATGTGCTCTGGGCTCGCTCGCGGTAGTAAGCAAACCATGCCCGAAAGTAGAGTTGTCACAACTACGACCCCGAAGCGAGAACCGAAGTACCTCATTGTAAGCTGTCTTCTTTTGCACCCGTGTGCGATAGCTCCGACCTACCCCACCCTGTACGTTCACTCGCGCTTGCATGCAGAAAGGTGTGCAGGGTGTATGAACAACTGAATGAACTACGAGAGCATGGACCGTGTACAGGATCAAGGCTGGCTTGCTTCGTTCTTGGCCAAGAGCGCACCAGAATCGATTACGTGAAGGTGATCAGTGTACAGCTGGTTGTTGACGTCGTTCAAAAACAATGAAGTTCGACCGGAAAGCACAAAAAATGTAGATGAATCAAATTGCGCAAACTTCCAAAAGAGTTAACACAACAAATCACACTGCAGATATCGGCGCCGGATATTTTCCCGGTGTTTTGTCCCACACCCCGCCGATACAACAGGACAGGCCAGTATGATCTCGCGTACGAGAAAGGGACAGCATTTTGTTAGCAGGACCTCTGGACCGGTTGAGACAGCGACGAACGCTGTTCTCCTACGTACGAGTCAATATCGGGTGTGTCCAAAACTCCTCTGCTGCTCCACCTCTCCAACACATCCGCGCAAGTGTTGTCTTCGACAAGAAAACGTCCGAGAATCACAGAATCACCCACTCACCGTCCGCCGGGCTGCTTGTGAAGACGGCACTCTCCTATGCGTGCGGGACTTGACCAAGAAGTTCACGCAAGATATTTCTGGATGGAGAACGTGCCAGTGCGCACGAAAGAAATGCATGCAGTGTTGCGGCAAGAACCAACATGAGGTTTCAAGGTAGAACCGTATAGATGGGACAATTATGTTGGCTCTTTATTCTCTAAAAAAACGCTCGCGGTCGACGGCCACCCGTTGCGTGCCCGCGGTTGGCCTAAAAATGCCCGCGACTTAGCGGACGTCGTTCATATTAACCCTCCTGACTCAAAGTGATATGGCTTTGAGCTGCCCAAAATCTAGATTTGTGGCCTAGGATATGGTCCAGGGTATTGATGGTTTGACTCTCGGCAGCAACTACGAGTCATCTTGTCCAGTATACACGGACGCGCTAGCAAGTGACCTAGCTGAGGGAAACCAGTAGCTGATGCCCTTCCTGCTTCACTGTTCGAAGACAGGAACGGCAGAAGGAGCCTCGGGAGACCCTTAAAAGCACAAGAGATTTTTTGTATTGTGTCAGCACCCCCTGACCCGAGTATGCCACACCGTAGGGTAGGTTGACTTGCGAGCGATGTCATCAAACAGGATGTGGAACATATGTATGCATATACGAATTTGTGCATCACGTCACCATGGATAGCGAAGCGGACGTTGATTTGAAACAAACCTGCTGTGTTGAACAAGGGTGTCTTGGTGATGATGAATTTGTGTTCCAATGGTCACCCCGCACCCCTCTACTTGTGACACAATGATCGGGAAATCTTTGTAGCTGTTCACTTGTTGACCAGATGCCAAGTGGACTTGTGTCAGGTACTAGCCTACAGCTGCCGTGAGGCAGACCATAGTCGTACCTCCATCAAACAGTTTTGAACAATATTATGCATCTCGCCGATGGAAGTTGGGGCCTTGCCGTGTTTGAACACGGCAAGCGATGCAAGAAAGCGAATGGACCAACGGCCGTTCGTTGGTGTCCATATTGATTGGCAGGAGAAACGTAGAGAATAGCAAATAACCCGATTGAATATGAACAAGTAACGATAAAAAATGCCGAGGATTGGACAGACATCTTGGACGACCGTTTCTATGAAAAGAGCGTCGCGTAGCATGAATTTGTCTAATGTTCAGCAGTTTGGATACAAACATAACGGGAAATTCAGAAGGAAGTTGTCCTGAAAGTGGTGGCGCGTTGTGCGACTTAAGGCAAAGCTGTAGCAGCAGATGGTGCAGCTTACACGAAAGTGAGACTGATTGATGGGCTGGGTTCCTCTCCATCACTTTGGAAGGAAAGCCGGAGAGCTCCAAACGAACGGCGCTGCTCTTCGAAATTGATATTTAGCAAAGAGAACGTTTTCCAGGGATCCGGCTTCAACGTTCTGTGTTGGTTCGAGGGCAAATCAAGCCGGGGAACCTAGTGTACGGAATACCTCACAGTGTCTACAGCGGATTGGGAAAAAACTGTGAGGCCCAACCTGAGCGGGACGCAGAGGTACACATGCCAGAATGAGAGCAATCTCAAACACGACACGGACAATGGAGTTAAGTTCTCATGATACCACTCAACGAGCACAAGACGCGGCATCAAAACAAATCCGATAGAGCCATCGTTGGACACCTTCCTCCATAACTCGGTCAGTTCCAACACATTATTACATCTGTTTTGGAGGCGCGTCTCGCGAGACTGTCGGCCCGTTGCATGTACTATTAGGTACTTCTAGATGTTGGCATATGGCACCAAAATCACCTCCATAACACCACCTGAACTATAGGCCAACTGAGCTACGTCACGGCAACACCAAGTACAACTTCGTCCGATACAAAAAATGGTCGACATGCTAGCCGATGGAGTTGTTGCCGCGAAGGTGTCCAGAACGAATCTGAACGGAATTCCCGCTACCCCACCAGAACGAGCCCTTCGAGGGTTGCAATAAGGGGTTCTCGCACAAAGGCGATGACCGGATGGTTCGCCGCGGGAATACGAAGCAAAAAAATATCTGAAAATAGATTCACCCAGCACAAGTTCGGACGAAACACGCGAAAGGTCCCACGGTGGTGACGAAATCCCGGGGACAATTTCCGGGTGTGCCCTGCTCACAACGGGAAAGATTGGTACAGTCAAGGGACCTTTAAAGTGCCGGTATGTGTGGAGAGATTTCACCGGCACTAAACCGGGCACCCAGCACTCTTGCGAATGATGCCAAAACGGCACTATTGAGGGCGACCCAATCCCTCATTAGTGCCGGTCTGGCGCTAATGAGAACGTGTGCGATTTATGGTGTAGCGCTCACGCTTGCGGGGCCAAGTCAGTACTGTAGTACGAAATGGATCGACGCTGCTGTTATGTGAAGTTCTAGTGTAGGCCTGGGCAGACTTTCTTTCCCGCGACACGGGCGGTTTCACCCTGTCGAGCCCGCAAGAGTTTTGTAAAATAAGATTGTTGCATTTCGGGCTACAGCAGTGCCTCACCAAGACTAGTCGACGGCGAAAGGGAAACACACATCATGAACCCGGGTAGGCTGTGACCGGCACAAACTGCTTGAAAAGCTATCGTTCGTACAAAGCTAAATTTCACCCTTTGTTGCCCTCCTGNTGGGCAGACTTTCTTTCCCGCGACACGGGCGGTTTCACCCTGTCGAGCCCGCAAGAGTTTTGTAAAATAAGATTGTTGCATTTCGGGCTACAGCAGTGCCTCACCAAGACTAGTCGACGGCGAAAGGGAAACACACATCATGAACCCGGGTAGGCTGTGACCGGCACAAACTGCTTGAAAAGCTATCGTTCGTACAAAGCTAAATTTCACCCTTTGTTGCCCTCCTGCGATGTTGAAAAATGAAAATCAAGAAACAAAACAATGTATAAGCGCACCAAAGAAAACACAAAAAAAACACACACAACTACAGCTGTAACCCCCGCCCTTGCTGCGTTGCGACAAATTCTCTCGTGTCTGCCTGGCGCACCCCCTTCGATGTTGCAACAAAAAACAATGCCAAAAAAAAACAGGCAGCGCACTGCAAGAAAACAACCACTGCTACAGCTGTATCTGCATCCTCGCTACGTCGCGACAAATGCTCTCATGTCCGCCTGGCGCACCCGCGTAGCGGAATGCGCTACTATCATCGCCATCTTCGCTTTCGCTAGATAGAGCGCCGCTTCCCCGTTGCCACTCTCCTCTGCTGCCGCTTCCAGGACGCCGAAGTAAGACGACAGTTCACCATACGCCGGTGGGGCACGGCGCACACACCCCGTGTCCTCATCGCCTCTGTCCTCCTCCTGTTCGTCCTCCTCCTCGCGGCCGGCCGACACGTGCACCCCACTTCAGCTGTGCCGTCATGTCGTCCACCGTATCCAGTCTGATAGCCTCAACGACTTCATCGTCCTCGATAGCAGCCCACCCCTGAATCGCGTTCACCGCTTCCTCCTCGATCCGCTTTCCGGGTTCGATGCGGAGTTCTGCCAACAGTTCGGCGATGTCCTCGTCTTCGATTCGGGATCCCTGCTGCTGCGCCTCGTGCACGCTCGTGCTCAACTTGTTGACAGTCTCCGTGAGAGCCTTCAAGTCAGGCTCGGGGATGTGGCAGGCGGCTCCACTGCAATTGCGGCAGCATGTTTGGCGACAACGAACAGCACCGCATCTGCAGTGCGCGTCGCCAAGGACGGCAAGCGCAAGGCGCCAGCAGCTGACAACGTTGGAAGGGGACAATCTAAACGCCGGAAGGTCACGAATGGGGGGAGTAAGAAGTCTCAGCCTTCTCGTAAGGGGCCTCGTGCGCGGCCGGATTTGGACGCCAAGCTTGATTGAGATGCTGAAGCTCATGGACGCCAAGGTCACTCATGAGCAGATAGCGGACCGCTTCGCGTCCGTCTTATCCTGTTGAGCGCACAGTTCACCTTCCGCACATGGCATGGTACGCCCCTGCGTAGAGCTGTTCTGGTCTGCAGCAGAACCTGTACCCTACTCCTCTGTCTAGAGCCTGTCTTCTGCCTGGTTGTCTGTGTGTGTGTGCTGTGTGTGTGCGCGCGGGGGGATGAACCGGCACTATTGAGGGTGACAGTGGCGCCCAACCGGCACTATACCGGGCATGCTCACAATAGCGCCGGTATGGCACTATTGAGGGCTCCGCCTGTGTCCGGAGATTTTGCCGGCACTAAACCGGGCACCTGGCACTATTCAACCGGCCGGCACTATAAAGGTCCCTCGACTGTATTACTCATCGAGCCCCCAGTTGTATCCCAGCAGCGAAACCTGCGTGAAAAATTGTGAAACAAATGTTGAAATTGCACGATGGCATCACCTTTGCCCAACGTGGCATATGGTCCCCTATTTCCCAATTGGCTCTTACTTCCGGCCAAAGTGGTACACGCATCCACGGCACATGTGGCGGCCTCTGCAGGCAACATGTTCATCACTGGCAACGCTTTGGTAATCGAGAGAATACAGACGAACTACAGTACAACCCAACGGCCTCGTTTCGGTGTGATAAAGTCGATTAAGTGCGCAACGAGGTGATGCAGGATATTTTTATAATTTGTCGTTTCCAGCCCAGGAGGAACGCTTGTAGCAGAAAATCCTCTGAGGCTCTCAGAGCCCTCACTCTTGGCTATCTTGACCTGTCACAGAGCTGCATTTCCCATCTCTCCGGAATCTTAGGAGCGCTTCAATATCATTCCGCTATTTCCGCTTTTGTCATCTCACTCCGCGTCTGTCTCTTGCATCTGTCTCGCCCGGTCGCGGAAACCTTTCGCCACTCTGCTCTCTCTCGCATTCAATTTTTACCCCAGTCTCTCGGCTCGCACACGTCGAACATCTTCTCATCTTCTCAGCCCATGTGCATATGTCCAGGCTATTGTACATTCATAATTTTGGGGGCCGGGGCAGGATTTTTGGAACTCTGATATATGGGAGAACACCTATATTTATTAATACCGCTTTTTCATGTCTTCACTCGCGTCTGTCTCGCCTGCTCGCGGAAACCGGACCAAGCGGTCAGCGGACGCCTCGATCGATCTGGCGCGGACAATGTGGGTCAGACCTTTCGTCTGTCGACGGGCCCATCTCAATCGATCGGGAATGCTGATTTGGTCTGTTCATATGTGTCCGCTCAGTCAGCTGTCACGACATTGGCGGAGTTTTTTTTACATAAACAAAAGTAGGTATACCCAAGGGGGACCCCTTTCTCGGACAAAAGTAGGTACAGTACTCGAAAAATTGCATTGCGGAGACCACTCGTGACGGGGCCGAACCACTCAAAATCTCTCCCGATGCCTACGAACTTTCGGGCACGTCTTCACCCCACACACCGCCGTGGCGCACAAGGCTTCAACAGGTTTTGCCCTTTTTTGTCCGAAATTCCGGTCGTTATTCCCACCGAAATCTACGATTTTTCCATGTACCCACTTTTGCCTGTTTTGTGACCCACCTTTGTCCGAAATGTACCCACACTTGTCCGTTTCTTTATTCGACAAGTTCTCCCGTGCAGTTACGTGGAGGTCAATTTTTTTGGGACAAAAAACGGCAACCTGTTGAGGCCTTGTGCGCCGCGGCGGTGTGTGGGGTAAGGACATCCCCGAAAGTCCGTCAAAATCGATATTCATGCTGCGTATGGGCCGGGCCCATGCTGTCCAGGCATTGGAAGGAGATACTGAGCGGTTTGGCCCTGTCATGAGTGGTCTCCCCGCAAAGAAATATTTCGAGTACCTTTTATTGTCCGAGAAAGGGGTGGGTATACCCACCTTTGTCTGTTTCCTATTAACAAGTTGAACAACAGACCAGCTCACACTCAAGTAAAATTCGTTGTTTCTGGGGGGTTATACCCTACCTGGTACAATATCCCCATGGAGAGAGGGTTCGAGCAGCCGACCCGACCCGACCACATCTCCGAACATTGCCAGAACATTTTCGACCCGCCAAAACTTCGAGTTTGGATCGATTTTTTAAGCTGTCTGCAGCTGGTTTCTACGCATCCGACGCTTCTGATGTGATCACATCAAGACGATTTTCAGCGCGCAACAACAGAAAAAAGAAAAAAACTACACAGGATGCACCTTTGTCTACTCCTGAGATAGCAAGAACAAGTTCGAGGGGGAACAACCTTGTCTTGTTCGTATGCATTCGTCCCATCTTTTCAGGCGCCAGTCTCAACATATTTCGGTGTGTTCTGCAACAGTAGCCTACGCACCTTTCGGTGGTGTATATAGTTGGCGCATCAGCCGGGTTCACACAGTGCGAAGACCACTCAGCAGCCTTCTACGTTATATTTTGCTTTCATGCTTTTCCATCTTTCAATATATTTTCATTGTGTTTTTATCGCGACAAGGGCTCAGCCGTCCCAATCCCACCCAAAACGCGAAGTCGAATGGTGTTTATGTACTGCTCAACAATGATCGTGCGTTCCGCGGCAAATTGCAACTGTTTTTGTGCTCCAGAGAGCATCCTGCTGCTGTTTACGAGGTCAACCACTATACAGACCACGGGGGCGACCAGCTACCATGTTGAATTCACATGCATGAAATCATGTACTCCGGTGCTGTCCATCCTACTTCTTCATCTGCTTCGGGACAACGATTGTAACGAATAAGAGACACGCATGAGCCTGTCAGAGAGCATTGCGCCACTGCTCTCCTTCCGTAAACTTGGGCCGTTGATCCTGGGAAAGCGGTTCACAACCGCGCCATCGAGACGTTCGATATGCCGCTGCATTTTCACATGTAGACTTTAGCTTTAGTGGTATGCCTTGTTTCTTTTGTCTTGTCCCATTCATCGTAAAGTAGGTTACGAAAGATTGCCAAACCTCACATTCTCTGCAGCAAAGACAGTGACGTTGCCGAACATGTATGTGTTGGAACCGTCTAGTCGAGAGCTTTCCGACAAATTATTGTTTGATGTTGGCATCCTCTTTGTCGTGGAGAAGTCGAGCTTAACAAAATCGGTCCAGGAGGTGCTGAATTTCTGGGCGCTAGTCCACCGTGCGGCACAGTCTTGGCTCCGATATAAGAGGGTCGAAATCGGTTGTCACGGACTCGACCGCCAAAGCATGGTTACTCTCTTCTGCAGAGACCGGACCCGTATTATTAATAAGTAGCCCGTGTACATGGAATTCCTCATGGTCGGAAAGGTGGTCGAGGCATTTTTAACGTGTTGCGTCGACTCTGTATGCGTTTATAAATTGCCCTGCTCATGCAGGGCTGCCTCCAAATCCGAGGTCCGCTTTCCTTTGAAGGTGCGTGCGTGGTTGGTTACGACGAATGAAGCGTTCTCCAAATCAGACGGCACAACACTTTCGCGTTGCGCAAACAGTCCGCGTGCGGCTTTATTGTCGAGGCTTTTGCCGAACTCCTTGCGAAATTTGTCGGGCTATAGTGGTCATTGTGCTTGTCAACACTTTGCACACCCACCCACTTGTCTGCAACGTCGGCTCTTCTCAGTATATTTAATTTCTGCTACCTGTACAAGGATGTGTAGGTATGCATGTACAGCCGTATTGTTATTATGCATGAACGCCGGCGTCAAGAAAGAAAGGTAAATACTGGTGTATATTAATGTTCTTTTTACTGCTATATGCATACGCATAGAGATCTGGTGTCCAGAGATACAATATTAGCGATGATTAGAGCAACGTGTATACATGCAGAGGAAAGTGGTGGTCCTGAATTGAGATCCATCCGCGTTTCTCGTCCCGTAAAATCCCGACGGAAAAAAAGGGCGCGAGTGTGGCGAGCGTCTTTTTCGCTTTGCGTGGAGTCCTCTTCTTCCACATCATGCCACTACAAACAACTGCAAGTATGACGCGAGTGTGACGACCTCTCTTTGTGCGTTGGTTAGCGTCTGTCTGGTGAATTGTGGATGACGAAAACGTGCGTTTCGGAGCGATCCGTTCACACTGGCTGCTTCTCTTCACGCCTACTCTACAGCAGAGCAGCAGCAGCTTCTGTATTTAGTGTCTACACGACAAAAATACACACTGACTGCTGCTCGTGTAGTCAAGTGACCGCCTCGTTTTCGCTACGGAGGCTGGCTAGAGACGCAAAATAAGTCCCTTGGACAAAGGGTGTACTGCTGTGCATGTATCTGCGTAGAACTTCTTCCTTTACGTGTATACATCCGCGCCGAAGCTGGATAGATTAAGATTATGTCCAGCAGTAGTATCGATACAAGTAAATAGAGAGATCTGTTCCAGTCGACAGGGCACAAGGACTATACGACTCTGCTGTTGTGGGCCCAGGTCGTCCTGTTGGATATCGCAAAATGCAAGGAAGGCCACGGTAGTCGCATGCATGCATCAGCACAAACCACACAGCGGTCATATGGAGAACGGGTTCTGTGTGCTATGTGCCATGGGTTTCATTGACCACAGAGAGAGACAACAAAAAAACTGAGCTATGTATGTACAAGAAAATCTACTCGAGTACAGGGTACAGTCAATTGGAGACTACACACGACACGCACCAAAAAAGAGGAATGTGCCGCACACAGGTACGCTAGAGCTATATAAAGCACAGCCGACACTATGTAAACACTAGACGCAGGGAGGACTGCTGAATGGCAACATGATTGCTTCTGTAAGGCTGGCGAGGAGGACATGACATGCCTCTGGCGGGTGAAACGCGGCGAAAAAGGAAAAAAAACAGAAAACAACAGTCCACGACAAGGTCAAAGATGCTGTGCTTCGACACATATGTTTTCGTCGCATACAAGCGTCAAGAGATCAATGTGAAGGGATGTGCACGTACCCCTTTCGATACTCGTTTTCGGGAGCTGCATACTGTGGTATTTGATAGCCAAATAATGCCGAGAGGCCCGTTGCAGGGTTTTGGCAAGGAGTTGTGCACATGGGGCCAAGAAGCAACCCATACGACAGCCCAAAACAGCCGCTGGAGGGGGTGCGTGACGGGATATTTACACCCCCATGATTCATGCGTTGGAGTTTGCGTCTCCCCCTATAGCACGGACCTTGCTTGCACGTCGTGATCCGACGAGGGGGGTGCACCAAAGACATCGGCATCGAACACAGTGTAGTTCTAGTCCCACATCGATGTAATATTTGAGTCGAGGGGCTCAGTACGTGTTGAGACATTGCGGTCTGATTGTTGCCGGCAAGGCGAGGTCGGCGGCCGGGAGGATAAACGTGCTGTCGCACGCTGTCGCACGCTGTCGCCCGCGGCGTGCAGATTAGATAGCTTTGAAACTTGGCGCACAGTTGTGTCTACTGGGTCATCGTTGACCCTCAAAGTTTGGTGCGCGTAGGTGAGCAGGCTGGGAAATTGTCCATCAGGAAAAAAACAATAATGCACCCGACGTTGGCGGCGAAAAAGCAGGCGTATTTGGCGCAACCGGTTCTTGGAAGCGTGCTCGCTTTGCTCGCCAACAGCGTTGCCGAGATTCGCGGAGCATCCCTATTCTATCCTAGCGCATCGAACCGTTGCTAGCATTCGGCTGTATCTTGCTCGGTTGTGGAGAACGTCGAGGCCAAAAAAATCGTGGATTTGAGGTCCAGGCGCGCGGCACGTATGAGGAGGTGGCAAAACGCTTGTGTTTGGCAGCGGTGTCGCCTCGATTGAAATTCCAAGGAAGTTGTCTGAAGGTGCAGGTAGCGCGAAGGCACCGCCGCGATATCGTGCTCGTAGCTTTCGCGAGCCGGGAGCAATCGGCCGCGGTCAAAAAAGCGCGGTGAAGATTTCAAGATTTCTTATACATATAAATAGTGTAGTTTTTCTTCCGTAGCTGGATTGGAAAATGCATGAACATGTCCTTTGCCTCCTAGAATCAATGGCTGCGTGCCAGTTACCCTATCCTCTGCAGATGTCCCCACGTCATGAACGAAGTCAACACGAAAAGAAAATAATTGCCGACACGATCAATATCACCTGGCTCATTGTGGGCATTCAGATTCGGTCAATCAGTCCACCGCGTGCTGCACCCATGGTACTCAATAAGTATTAACATTAATACGGTACATTGTACGTTGTGCTGTAGTCTAAGTGCCTTGTGTTTCCCTATTCCCGATCTCTTTCACGTGAGTCCCCCGGTGGTCGGTTACAAGTAAGTGCGACAGATACAGGTTCGACCGACCACCTCCTCATATGAACATCGACCAATCTAGGAAGGTGGAGAGTAAGAACCAGAGAAGAGTGTTCCGGTGGGAAGTAGAGCGTTTGGGAGACGAGTGGACATGGGGTGAATTCCAGAACGGGGTAGCTGGTACATTAGTGTACAAGCAGCAGGAGGCAGGTGATCGAAGGATGCGATCCATAGTGAACACAAGCAGAGAGAGTAGTGGGAAAGAAGGTGGTAAGATGTGGTGGGACGGTTAAGTGGTGGGATGACGAGCTGAAAGAAGAAATAGGGGAACGTAGAGTCTTCAAGCAGTACCTGAGTGAGGGGACTGAGGGGAGCTGGGAAAAGTACAGGGCCAAGAGAAAACAGGTGAAGGGAATAGTGAAAACGAAGAAAAAGTGCATTTGGGACGACGTAGTGCAGAAGGCCCAAGGACGCCTGGAGGGGAACGTCAAGCAAATGTGGCAAGGGATTAGTGGGATGGTAAAAATAAACGCGCAGGAGGGGGATACGGGGGTAGCAACTTTGGGAGGTGTGAACGGCGGACTAGTCAGCAGCGGGAAGGGAAAAAAAGGGAAGTTCTAGCAGGACACTACACGAGACTTGGAGTGCCGTCGGAGAATGAAGCTTTCGACCAAGTGTTTAAGAAGGAGGTGGACGCATGGGCCCAGGAAGAAGAAGAAATACCGAAGGCAGACGTTGGGAACGTAGAGTTAGAAGGAGTTTACTGAGGACAAGGGTGAAGGTGAAAGTTGTGTGAACATGCTACAGTGCCACAAGGCAGCAAAGGCGGATGGGATATTCAACGAATTCATCAAGTTTGGGGGGAAGGGGATCATCCAGCTGATGATAATGCTGTACACCTGGGTGTGGAAAAACGAGTATGCGGCAACTAGATGGAGGAAAGGGGTGGTTGTGAACTTCTTTCAGAAAGGAGACAAGACTGACCCAGGACGTTACAGGGGGATCACACTGTTGAACACAGTAGGAAAAGTGTTCTGTAAGCTGCTGAACGATAGGACAGTGGGGAGTATTGGAGAAGAAATGTAGAATAAGTGAGGGCCAGGCAGGTTTCCGAAAGAAGAGGGGGTGCGTAGACCACACATTCACGGTAGGGAGAATCATCCAAGATATAAAGAGTGCGGGGAAGCCCACGTATTGCTTCTTCCTGGACGTGAAAAAGGCATACGATACAGCATGGAGCAATGGGCTGTGGAAGCAATTCTCCACGTACGGGATGAAGGGGAACNAACACAGTAGGAAAAGTGTTCTGTAAGCTGCTGAACGATAGGACAGTGGGGAGTATTGGAGAAGAAATGTAGAATAAGTGAGGGCCAGGCAGGTTTCCGAAAGAAGAGGGGGTGCGTAGACCACACATTCACGGTAGGGAGAATCATCCAAGATATAAAGAGTGCGGGGAAGCCCACGTATTGCTTCTTCCTGGACGTGAAAAAGGCATACGATACAGCATGGAGCAATGGGCTGTGGAAGCAATTCTCCACGTACGGGATGAAGGGGAACATGTGGAGAGTGCTGAAGAAGATGACAGAGTGTGCGAAAAGCGCGGTCATGCTAGACAGATAACTGTCGAAATTCTTCAACACTGAACAGGAGGTCCCACAAGGTTGCACGTTGTCCCCAACATTGTTCCAGGTATTCATCAACGATCTGTTGAAAGTCATAGAGGCAGTCGGGAAAGGAGTAAAGGTAGGGGAAACGGAAACTTCGGTGTCGGGAATGCTGTTTGGGGTTGATTTTGCCGGTATGTCGGACACCTCTGAGGGACTGCAACTGCAAATTGACGCGGCGAAGGAGTTTACAAATGAGTGGAGGTTGTTTGCCAACGCTGAGAAGAGTGCCGTCATGGTTTGCAACGACGACAGGGAGAAACCAGTAGAAAATTGATGGAAGTGAGGGATCGAGGAGCTTGCAATAGTGGACCAGCACACACACCTCGGAGAAGAGATCGCGAAAGACTGCTCGTGGAATGCACACATGTCCAAGGTAGCGGAAAAGGGCAAAGCACGAGCAGGGGAGCTGCACCCAATGCTCGCAAACAGGCACCTCGGTACACGCTTCAAATTGACGGTTTTGAAGAGCGTAATCGTACCGCCGCTAGAGTGTGCCGGAGAAGGATGGGAAGGAAATACAAGAAGGTAGTCGAAGAGCTCGAGTCGGCGCAGATGAAAGCAGCGAAAATCATCCTAGGATTCTCCAAGCGCACAAGCAATGCAGCACTCAGGGCAGAACTGGGGACACGGTCTCTACGTTCGGGAAGAGGGCAAGGAAGCTGACATGGCAATATCGCGTGTGCGGTATGGGAGAGGAGAGGTTGCCGAGAATAACCTAGGAGGTGAAGTGAGCGAACGAAAAGAGGGGTAGACAACCCACGGAGTGGATCAAGGTTGTAGGGGACGTATGGAAGGGATTCGTAATCGAAGAAGGTGAAACGCTGGAAACGGAGGGTTCAAGGAGGAGATATATGTTACTTGTGCCGAGAAAGAACAGAATCCAAGGAAAGACAGGATGAGGAGGGTCTAGAAGTGTACGGAATGTTGAAAGAAGGGAAAGGGTTCAAGGAGTACCTGCATGGACCAATGGATGCAGGGACAAAGCTGGAGGTCAAATTCAGGACCGGGGAAATTGGCCTTCGAGAACTAGATCAAGATTTCGGAAGGTAGACGATGAAGACGCCAAGTTCAAATGCGATTGCGACGCCGAGTGTGAAGACCAGGTTCATGGAGATGCGGTGTGTTCGTTGAAGAAACAGGAGAGGGAAGTGTACATGACTGAACTGGGAAAAATAGAAGGAAGGTACAGGGAGATGTTTGAGCCATGAAACAGCGAGTAAAAGAACGTAGCCGTACTGGGGCATAGGAAGTGGTTTCAAAAGGCGGGAGATGATATCGGTAGGATAGATAGACCAAATAGGGAAGATATTTTTGAGCCACCTTTGGCAAAGTAGGAAGGAACGATTGGCCATCGGTGATCGTTCCTGTGGGAACAATGCTCCGTCCTCTCGAGTACGCGTGGTCAATGGTCTAACCACTAAGGCATGCAAATCAAAAGAGTACGCCCCCCCCCCTCCCCCCCAGTAGATGGAAGAAGGGGCTCGGAGATAGAAGAGGGTCGAGGGCCTTTGTCACATCACCCTCTAATAACTTACGAGTATTACATTGGCATCTAAAGGGAGCCACACGTTGGACGCACCAGTCGTGGTCACACCACGAGGAAGGCCACCTTTCCTTAGTGGTGCCTTCCATTTTTAAAGCGAGAAGGGCTGCTCAGTACTCCCGCCTCTCATCGTTGTGCCTGCTCACGCTGTGGTACTCTTGATAGTGCTGCATATGCATATGAGTACATGTCAAATAAGTCAACCCTTCCTTACTTCGCAACAGCTTCGGAACAAAACTTAGTACTTCCAAGGAGCACAAAAAATTGTGACCCAACGAATCCATCTCTAAGAAAAGAATCTAAGATAGATTAGCAATGAATCCATAGCGTCAGCGAAGGCTACCTGTATACGTCGGTAGCATTGGAACTTGCGCAGTCTACTGCTGTATGCCACGCATATCTGCACATGCTCGCTTAGGAGCACTGTACTTTGTCACAGGTCATGTGTCTGTAAACTGCAGTAGTGTTCCAACACATCATGTCGTTTAGTGGGTTTAAGGCTAGGGTTGGGGTTAGGTGAGCGGTATCTCTGCTCGTATACACAGCAATACTACTGAATGCATGGGCTTGTAGGACAACGCAAGCGAACCGCAGCCAAATCTGATATATATATATATATACAGTGGGGGCCCCGGTTTAGCTACCCCCTGTTTAGCGACATGCCCTGTTTAGCGACGCCCAAATCTCGTGACAACGCTGCACCCCGGTTTAGCGACCATGTGGTCGCTAAACCAGTCGAAGCTGCAATAGCGACCATCGTTTCAATTTGCGGAAACCCCGCGTTCCTCCACACCCAAAGACACAACATCGCGGGACACGTAATACACACGCAACATGCCGTGCGCCGATGGGAGAGTTGTGCAAAAAGCCGGATGTTGAACTGCGGGCACCCCAGGGGCATGTGTGCCATGGTGGCTGCGGTGGACGCCTGCACCGAATGTGTGAGGAGGTGGAGCATCGATCGATGCACCGCACCTGCCACGATTGTGTATCCAAGAACATGCAGGCTTCCCCACCCGTCTCGAATCAACCCAAACGCAAAGTGAGATAGAGGTAGATGGAGAGATGGCCGTGTGGGGGTGGGGAAGTGATGGCACCGCCGCCCTACTCGGAGCTTTCGTCGCATTTTGGATCGCCAGAAGTGTGCGCGGAGTCGTGTGGGTCAAGCGAGGCAGCGTACTATGTTCAAGGCAAAGGTGTTGTCCATCGAAGCACACTTCGCGAGACCAGCGCGACTGACGGACATATATATGAGAAATAGTTTAACATGATCGGTACACGGGACAGTAGCACAATGAAACCACAAGCAGCGCGAGGTTCTTTACCGCTTGGGCGTGGACGAAATTTCTCCGTGCCATGGTGTCTTGTTTTTGTTTTGGGGGGAAGTTGCCAAGATTATTTCCCCTCTCCCACCTTTCTTGTCCTCCCCCTCGGTGTTTGCCATCGGGATTGGGTTTTCGTCGCTTGGCAACGACGTTGTATAACAAGCCAATTAACTCCGTGAACTCGGCAACCAGGTGACCGATTTTTTTTACCTCTATTTTTTTTTGGTGGTAACCATCATGGTGGTCGAGTGGATCATGTTGTGCGGGGTGGAGAACCCTCACTCCGCGCAAGGGGGATGATCGCACCACGTTGTGTTGACATGGTAAAGCACCCTCGAGGCAATTACACAGCGCTTACAACTGTCTCTGGAAGTGAAAGCACCAGAAAGTAAATTAAGTCATACACAGCTCTCATCCGTACGCAAGGAAGTAAGCACACGATGCCGAACAACCTTAGCAGCATGCAGCCAGCGCACCCTTCATGCGACTCGCCGAATATCTCACGGCGCTTCGCGCTTGGTGATGTGAGAGCCTGGTCCGGTGAGAACCCGGCGTGCTCCGTCCCGGCTTTGTAGGGATGCGAGGTCAATGGTCTAACGACTACGGCATGCACGACTACGAGGACACCCCCCCTCCCCCCCCACCTTTCAATTGTTATTCTTCGCAGATAGGACTTACTTATACGTGTTTCTTTTGTGTTGGTCTATGTACATGTAGAGACAGATTGTTCAGCATGCGGGCAAGACACAAGGCACCCTCTGTACATTTGTTGAGACTTGTCCTACAAACTTCGGATGGTACAACAAGCTTGCTGGTTAATTGGAATGCATTCCATAATGTAGGAACTATTCCCCGGTTCTCCACCCTAAGGCGCTTCTTCTTTCCTCTACCCTTCTTTCCTCTACCCTCATGTGACTGTTAATACGACGCCCACATGACCCGGTCAAGAAGGTTTCTGCAATACGGCCTTCAGTCCCACGAATTGTCGCTTTTTCCCAGTTTAGCGACCGCTAGTCGCTATTCAGGCTCCCGGTTTAGCAACCATTGGTAGCTAAAGGTTTAGCGACATACCCTGAATAGCGACCATATTTCGTCGTGACACTAGGGGTCGCATATCCGGGGCCCCCACTGCTGTATATATATACCTCATATGACACAAGATAACACACCCCCTTGACCGATTTTCGAAGGTCGATTTCTCAACTGCAGGAACAGTCACAGAGCCGAAAATGGCGGCGTTGAAACCGTCTCGTCGATAGCTTTTCGACAATGAATCATTTCGTTCATGAATCCTCTTCGTCGTGGAGTAATCGAGCTTTGAAAATCGGTCCAGGGGGTGTGCTATCTTGTGACATACAGTATACTCTATATTGTTTGGTAACCGGTATTTTTTTTCTCTCATCATAAGACTCCGTCGTCTGCCCCTCTGGCCCCTATTCTCCACTTCTACCAGCTAGACGACCCAACCGGGGTCACATAGGACGGGGGGGTTGGACCCCCTCCTGCGGTTCCTGCTTGAGATTTTTTATCGCGAGAAGGCNGTGGAGTAATCGAGCTTTGAAAATCGGTCCAGGGGGTGTGCTATCTTGTGACATACAGTATACTCTATATTGTTTGGTAACCGGTATTTTTTTTCTCTCATCATAAGACTCCGTCGTCTGCCCCTCTGGCCCCTATTCTCCACTTCTACCAGCTAGACGACCCAACCGGGGTCACATAGGACGGGGGGGTTGGACCCCCTCCTGCGGTTCCTGCTTGAGATTTTTTATCGCGAGAAGGCTACAGCAATCCCTTCCCTCTCGACTTATGAAGTCGATCAAGTTTACTAACAACGAGCTTTGCAGCGCGTCGCTTCCAACGGAGACCAGGATGAAATTTGAAAGAAAAAACTCAGTCTGTGTACATACGTGGAGACGTACTTTCTTGGTAACTTCAGCATTTTTTTACGTACCTCCTTGATCAACCTCCCGCGCAAATTGGTAGAAAGACTGGACTAGATTTCCAATGGAAACGCTCGAGCGTTCTTGTTCTCCACGCCACTGCCAGGCTCGCTGGAACAAACAGACCCCTGACTCCTTGTCGATTACGCTGAGGAGCCGCAGTTTCTCGGTGCCGCCGTTCATAACTGCTGATTTCTTCGCTCTCCACTTGAAAGGCGTTCGCTTTGGTGCCACGGCTACTTGTGCAGGACTTCCCGTGTGTCTGCTGCAGGACTTCCTTCAATATCAACTTTTCTGCGAGTGCTGCTGCTGTACGTATGCATACGCGGTACTCGATATAGGTCGTCACCACGTGCGCCCGCCGGGCAGCGGGCAGCGGGATTTCAAAAAAGACGCCCCGCGATTCACCCGCGTGTGTGTTGTACGTACGTACGCATCAGAGTTTTTCCGCGGGTGCCCAGCGCACAAAAAATGCCCTGCTGGCACAGGGAGATGATAAGACCAATTCTTATGGAAGGTCTGCAGTTGCTGAGATTTGGGTTTGTAGTGATGCCGATAGAACATACCAACCCCTATGGTGCTGTTATTTGCCGGAAAAACACGATTTGAAATCGTAGATACCCCGGAATCGCTTTGCCCGCTACGATTTGGAAGCCCAAATCGCTGCGAGATTTTTTCGGCGACGATTTGGGTTTGATGCCGTTCTTGGAGGCGTGCCCTA